AGGAGCCGCTGCCTGCCCTAGTGAAGCTCCACCAGCTCTGGGACACTGCTCTGCTCCCTGGCCCTGACGCCACATGCCTCCTCACTCCCCGAGGCCATGCCGGGGAGTGAAGCAGTGTCCCAGAGCCAGTGGAGCCTCACTGGGGCAGGCAGCAGCTCCTCCCTGAGGTGAGGCAAGGCAGAGATGGAGGCTGGCATGGGCTCTGCTGGCTCCGGGGAAGTGCTCTACTCCCTGGCCCTGATGCGGGGAAGCAGAGCACTTCCCCGGAGCCGGCTGAGCCCAAGCCAGGCTCTTGCCCCCACCTTGCCTAGGAGCTGACCTACAGCTCCTCTCCTGGTGCACGGCCTTGAAAAGGCCGTGCGCAGCTACACTTTTAGTTGTGCACGGCCACAGACGCGTGCACCTTAGAGGGAACCTTGGCCCTGGGGTTTATATGGGCCCAGGGCCCTGCTTCTTCTGGTCAGCTTACTGGCTGCAGGTGCAGGCTAATTCCCTCCTTAGGCCTGCTGCCACAGTAACCTGCACCTGTGATGTTCCTGCCTGACTGCTAGGGCTCTCTCCCAAGGCAGTTTCAGCCCTTAAAGGAGCAGGCACCTTAGTGCCCTGCGACACAGGAGTGTCAAACTCATTTGGCCCTGCAGGCCAGGACCAGAATGCAGGTTTCTCACAGGCCAAACAAGGCACCTCTGATGGTGCAGCCAGCAGCAGTAGCATGAACCCCTGCAGCTATTGGAGCCTCCGTCTCAATGCAGCTAGAGCCCAGGAGTTCAATGCCATCCTTGCTCACCCCTCTTCACCTCCCTGCTACCGATTTTAGCTGCACTGACACCTGAATACAGCTACAGGTAAAAGGAGGGCCAAGTGGTTGCAGTATTAAACCCCTGAGTTCCAGAGCCAGGCCAGCACAGCAGCTCCAGCCACTGCAACAATCCCATGGATCAGACCTGGCCCTCAGGTTGTATGTTTAATACCCCTGACAAAGGATGAAAACTTATCCTCTTAGCAGCTAACTTAGCACAAGTGGCAGAGGTGCTGAGGGGTAGATCTAGATAAAGGTTCCAAATCCTGATCACCCACGTGGTTGTCAGTATGATGCAACATAGCAAAACTCTGATTTTTCCCCCAGCTTGCTCTTTTTTAAATGCTAGGCAACCTTAATTCTGTCATTTTCTCATTTCAAGTGCTTGATGTTACAAATTTGACAGCAATTCCTTTAACATACTTTTTCTGTTTGTAATATGTGATAAAGCACATACAAGGACAAGTATATAGGTATAAATTAAGACAAATTAAACAGATCCACTGTATAAATTAAACAGATCCATTGTTGAAAAAGTGACTTATAGCGGCAGGGCTGGTTCTAGGAATATTTAGTATTGGCAGTGGCTTTACTATTTTGAATTGGTCTAGAAAATTTTTAAAAAATGGTAATGCATGGTAGTATTTTCAGAAACAGTGTTTACTCAGCTCCCTCATTTCTTATATTGCAACACAGCAGTTCAATTGCATCTGCTCCAACATGGGTTTGCTGTGGTTATCGAAAGGTAGAACAAAATCAGGCCCAGATTGTGCTTATGCTAAATGATAAGAGGTCACGAATGAGAAACCCAAGAAGGCCCTAAAGGGCCTTCATCAGGAAAGCAACATATATAATTACACACTTACCTTAATATTTCCAGAATCTCTGTCAAATTCAGTCTCTGATGATACAGCAAATATACCACTGGACAGCAAGCCCTTGCATTTAGCGGAAGTTTTCTGGGAAACAAGACTACCTAGAAAGAGTTGAAGGAAAAAGAAAGGCTATTTTCTATCTGAAGATGAAGTAATCTATATTTAATAAGAGGCTTTGAATGAGCCACCAAACAAGTAAAAAATAGCTCCACAATGGAACAAGTCAAATGCCACCACGATCGGCATGAAGAACTTTAATCCCCTAGAAGTGACAAAAATCTGCCATGAAGCTTGGACAGCCGGAGTCCTGGTAAATTCTTAGGGTTTAGCAGCTAGCATCTAATACCCAAGATAACACAGTGTTAACCTTCTAATCAAGGTGGGGAAAAAATACAGGGCCTGGTGACAATATTCTGTTTAACCAACTGCTACAAAGGAGAGCAGTAGTATGAGTATCAGCAGCAGTAGCTCAAGACTCTATGACATTAGAGGCAAGTTCTTGCTAGCAGAGTTTGTCTGTGAAATAAAAAAAAGTAATCCCAGGAGATAAATTTAAAAAAATATATCTAATTTTAATGCCCAGACTAAAGCAACTATTCATTATAGAAAAGCAGTTTTATACCTATGCTCCCCCCCTCAGACTTAACATACGTGAAAGCAATCTTCATGACAGGAAGTGGCATGCATTCCTGCAAGAATGAACTGCTGTCATTATCTGAGAATCGATATGATTTTTTTAACTGAATATAACACTAACTATTGATTTCACATTTTTAGCAGCTGAGTTTCAGGCTATACGGAAAAGATTTTTACACTGACAAGAGAGCCCCAGACAGGTAAATGAGTTACTATAAATTAATTCCAAATTTACAGCATGCTTCCCTTGAACAATGTAATCAGTGGTTCTTTCCCCCAGATACCTCAACTTAATTTTTTTCTCTTTATACTGACAGACATGACTTACACTTCATATACATTTAGAGCCAGTGTAAAAAAAAAAAAAAAAGCTTAAGCAATTCTATTTATAAGCTGTGCCAAGGTCACTATTTGGAGCTCCACAGTTCCATACTGCAAGATCCCCAGGACCCATGTTTGATATTAATTACTGTTTGTGTAACAGGAGCAGTCCCTACTAGTCCCAACCACAGTACATATTAAGGAGACAGTCTCTGCCCTAAAGAGTTTACAAACAAGCAGAAACAGCAAAGGACAGGAAGTGAAAGACACAAAGACAGGCGACAGAAGAAGTGTCATCTCCAAGGTCATGCTACAAATCAGTGGCACACCCGGGAACAGAACCCAGTTCACACAAGTTCTACTCCAAAGCCATATCCACTGGCCTATGTTATAGCTCCTTTAAGGGAAGTCAAAGAGAGTGATGCAAGTAGGTGGCAAACTGTACATACCGTGAAGAGATTACCATTCATAAGAACCACCAATGACTCCCAAGACAGGATGCATCGTTACAGAGAACACTGTTAACACAGTTTTACAAACAAACATTTTTTGGTTCATGGGAGAGTCGTATTATTTTATTAGGAAACTCTGGGTATTAAAAAGTAAGAGCCCGTTGCCTCAAACACTATGAAAATACCCAAAATTTATAATCGAAAGCCCCACTTCTGGCCACATGGACCCCAGGGAAGTCAGTGGAGCTCCAAACAGCCGACTGCAGGATTGCTCCCCAGCATAATACAAACCCTATAAACGTGAACACTGAAGGAAGGACTGGAAGAAGCAGCATGAATGTAACATCACTACCGAAACCACTCCCACCTCTGTCAGTTTCAGCTCCACCATCCTCCTGTGCCAGCGACTGGCTGGGTGAAGGCTTTTTGGTGCTCGTTCTTTGAAACAGATGTTCTGTATCCCGATCAACCCTTAAGAGGTTTCATAGAATCATAGCAAAGTAGGGCTGGAAGGTCACCTAACTCAATGTCCTGCCAGAGGCAGGATCATCCATATCCAAACCATCCTACAGAAACCCATGGTCTAACCTCCTAGAAAACTACACTCAACTTGGGCACAACACAAGAAACAACACCCTAAACTGCCACAGGTAAAGCAGGGGGACCACCACGGCCAATATCCTGATACTTCAAAGATTGTTAAAACTTTTTATTTCTGGTTTCTCTAATATTTTTAGGCTTGTGACAAGGATAACTGGGGTTGGGGAAGGAAAGGCGGGGGGGGGGATGTTGGAGAGAAACAACACGGCCTGAAACAAAAATGTGCTATTTTTCTGTATAGAAGCTTGGGAGTAGGATAGGGACCAAGAGAGGTATCTTTTACAAAGTACAAGAAATATCATTATCATGTTTCAGCTTGAAAAGTAATAGCTGGGTAATAGTTGAACTGGAAAACCTCTCCATGGAGAAGTCCAGATTTCAGGGACTACCTCAGAACTCCACTTGCAAGGCAAACACATAAAAAAGGAACGCCTTTGGGCCGCTCAAGCAGATCATATTCTATCATTCGCCATAAGCCAGTTCATATGGTGCCATTAGCTTGTCTTTATGGAAACTCCATATCTTTTTCTCCTCTCAAAGATCAAAGCTATCACAGAGTACTACTTCAACCTTTGGACTAGATCGGGGGGGGAGCTAAAATGGCTGTCACAGCTGTATACAGGCAGCTTGAAGGGGGGCAAAAAAATTAGAAAAGTAGTAATCCTCCACCATGAAAATGGTATACAAAGAGGGGTTTAGGCTCAAATCTTTGCCGGCTCAGCCTTTCCACCACCCATTGTCCCAAAGAAGTCAGAAGTGCTATGTGGGGCAACACAAAAACAGGATTGATGGCAGCCTTATGTAGAGTTTAGATTATGGTTTGTATGGGATGGTTTGGATAAGGATGATCCTGCCTCAGG